AAAAATAAAGTAAATGAATGCCATACTCATTGCATTATTAATTTTTTTCCTTGATGCCAAGGGATGGGCCTTCTTCGGTCTGCCCCTCCGACAAGTTAAGAGTACGTAACATTAGGAATATTCCCTCATTGACACCAAAAAAAAGAATTCATTATCAATTTTTTTATATCCAGTCTTTTTCAATGCAGTCTTCGTTTTACAACAGTCTTCGATGTAGTCTTTGTTTTATATTATGATGCGCCATTTTGAAATTTCATATACAGCAATCAACTTTGGATTTTTCTGTTTATAATATATGGCAAATTGCGATGCTTTTCTATCTAACCACACACACTGAAAGCTCGGATCCTGAATTAGGGTTGTTTATATTTGTAGGTTACACGTTTGAGCACCATGAAACCTCTTTTTTTCTTTTCTCAATTAACCCTGTAAATAATTATAAATTGATAAAAATAAAAAAAACCACACACTGAAAGGGATATTTCAGCTTAAATTAAACGGAATATAAATAAAGTAGGAGCAGAACATTAGGCTTTTGTTGGGCCAACGTGACATGGGATTATAATTTAAGACCTACATGTAATAGGGTTAGGTTCAACTTCCCAGCCGTCTTGACTTAAAAAAAATGTTCAACCGGTCTTAGCATTAACTACGTGTACATTCGTTATTTATTAATATTTTATTTATTCAAGTAAATATTATATTTGAATTTATAAAGAAATTAAATAAATAATAGATATAAAAATATTATATTTATAAATATAAAATTAAATAATAAATATAAAGATTTAAAATTATTTAATTAACTTATTTAATTAATTTATTTAATTGACATGTTACTTATACTTATATAATTTAAATTATATATATTTATTATGTCTAATATCTATAAGAGCTTTTTGATCGAAGGTAATTTTTGGGAGGAGGAGGGATTGAACTCAGTTCATGGGGTTAAGTGGTACATATTATTACCAAACGACCTACAAGACCATGTGCGTTATAAAAGCTAAATCATAGTTTAGTGTATATACTTTTCAAATTTTAAAGAAAATTAATTTCTACACTTAAACAAGCTTTACTATAAAATTTGAAACAAAAAAAGAAGTATCAATCTTATTAGCAGACATTCTAAAACTCCACCATGGCTTTCAATTTTCAAGAAATCCATTAAACATCATTTTCCAAATGTCTCTCCAACGCATCCCAAAATCAAAATGAAAAATTAAAAAGGCAAAAAAGTCAAGATATATATTTCAATATTCTTGTTTTTTCTAATATAGGGAAGTATGATTTTGTATTGATCTGATTGTGAGAGAAAGAATCAATAAAGCTGAAATGAAATATATTCATGAATTAAGTAAGAACAAATTTTTAAACGCACTTTAAATCAATTTAAGTTTTTGAAAGATTTCAAAATTAGGGGGGGGGGGTGAAAAAAAGGGTTAGTTGAGCTTAGCTTCTTGCCTACAAATGTAGATAATATGCGAACGAAATTAAATTGTACTCTCAATTATTTCGTTTATTTATTTAATAATTAAATATGAAATCTCATTTATTTTTACAATTTATTAATATTTTGATTAGAGAAAAATTATCCCATAAGTTACATTTCAAGTGCTACTATTAATTATATATATTCTGATTTCAAAATTTTTTAGAAAGAACAAGTTGAATAGCAAAAATTTATTTCACTATAGCATTTTTCTTTTAGGTTGATTTTGGGATGCGTTTGAAATATGATGTTGAATAGATTTATTGAGACTTATAACATGGAAGCCATGTTGAGAATTTTTTTTTTTTTTTTTACCATAGGTTTATTTGTTCTTTTTATTTCATGTTTTAATTTTTTTTAGTAAATTTAGTTAAAATTGAAAGAACTAATTTTCGTTAAATTTGAAAGTATATGGACTAAACTACAATTTAACCTTTTTCTTTGACTGCTGGGATCAGATTTTTTATGGAAACTAGCGGAACCGTTAACAAAGGGTTTCCTTCTAGCATAAATAGAAGAGTTAAGGGCTTATAAGTCTAAAAAGATAATTTAGGGGCTCGTGTCGAAAAATAGGGTAAGTTCAAGAGTTTAAGATTTGCCACTATAATATTAATGTGCAACCGAAATTAAAAATCATCCGTTCATCAAAAGAAATAAAAATATATAAAATCATCCGTTATCAAAAAAAAAAAAAAAAAAAACATCAAAATATCTAATGTTCCACACTAGATTGAATCCATAATCATGGTGACCAAAAATTTCCGTGATTGATGAAAAGAGAAGGAATTTTCACGAACCATAGATATCTCCAAGAGCTGAAAGCCACTTTTCAAACTTGTCCCATCTCTTCACGTTGCACAACAGTAGCACATGACTCGTAAAAGCTGTACTATTATTCTGGTGGGGCAAAAGGACAGTGAAACTGTGAAAGCACAAATTAAATTGACCTTAAAGAACCAAGGACCAAAAAGACATCCAAGTCTTGGCGAACACGCTTGAGTAATCATGATTGAAATACAAAAATAGGCTGCTTTTAATTTTTTATTTTATTTTATTGGCAAAAATAAGCTGCTTTTAATTGCTAACTCGGATTCTTTATCTTTAGCGTAACTTCGGGGAAAGGTCTTTTATTTGCCTATCCATGGGACTGTATATATTACTGTACAACCAAAATTAAAATCACATCCCATCTTCTATACAATATTGAAACCATCATTATGAGGGAAACTTTTTGTGCTATGCTCTTTCTTGTTGCGGTATTGTTCTTTGGAGCTGCAGAGTTCTGTTTCGGTCGGAACGTGAGCTTTAGCTGTATGGAAAAGGAGAGAGAAGCCCTCTTGAAGTTCAAACTTTGTTTCCATGATCCATTGCATATGTTATCTTCTTGGAAAGGCAATGACTGTTGTGAATGGAGAGGAGTAGGCTGTGACAAGAATAGCGGATATGTTGTCTCGCTTCAACTCAGGGGATCGATATTTGATCAATCTCATTGGTACTCTATTGATGATCAACAACCTCAATTGTACTTGATTGACGATGTAGAGGAGGTTGTTTCAAGTTTGCTCAAGTTGAGATACTTGGAACACCTGGACTTGAGCAGAAATAATTTCAGTTTTAATTTTATTCCACCCTCCTTTGGCTTGATGAAGCAGCTGAGGTACCTAAATCTCTCTAATATGCAGTTTAGAGGAAGAATTCCTGATGAACTTGGAAATCTTACAAGGCTTCATGTTCTTGATCTTTCTCAAGATTATTATGAGAGAGGTCTCTTTCAATATTATTATGGGAGATTGAAGGTTGATGGTGACATTCAGTGGATTTCTTGTCTCTCCTCTTTGCAACGACTTTATATGAATGGAGTAAATCTAAACCATGCATCATCAAACTTGTTCCAGGTACTTGGAATGCTTTCTTCATTATCATGGTTAAGTCTGTCAGATTGTAGTCTAAAAATTTCTCATCTACCATCTCACAACCATCCCCTTAATTTTACATTTCTTGGAAATATTCAGCACTTTGATATTTCATGGAACTCTTTTCATGGTGCAATGCCTATATTTCTCCAAAATATGACTTCATTGACATTTCTTGATGTGAGTGAAGTAAATCTAAGCCTTACATCATCAAACTTGTTTCAAGAATTGGGCATGCTTCCTTCACTATCATGGTTAAGTTTGGCAAGCTGTCGTCTCAAAAATTATCACTTGCCATCTCACAACCATCCCTTTAATTTTACATTGCTTAGCAATATTCAGCACTTAGATATTTCATGGAACTTTTTCCAAGGTCCAATACCTATATTTCTCCAAAACATGACCTCCTTGACATTTCTTTATCTTTCTTTCAATCAACTGAGTGGGAGTATTCTAGATAGTATCAGGCACCTTTCTAAGTTAGAAAGCATAGATCTTTCTTGCAATCAATTGAGTGGGAGTATTCCATATAGCATCTGGCAACTTTCTAAGTTAGAGAGCATAGATCTTTCTGGCAATCAATTAAGTGGGAGTATTCCAAATAGCATATGGCAACTTTCTCAGTTAAAGAGTATAGATCTTTCTGGCAATCAATTGAGTGGAAGTATTCCAGATAGCATCTGGCAACTTTCTAAGTTAGAGAGGATAATTCTTCCTGGCAATCAATTGAGTGGGAGTATTCCAAATAGCATTGGGCAACTTTCTAAGTTAGAGAGCATTTATCTTTTTGGTAATCAATTGAATGGGAGTATTCCAGATAGCATCGGGCAACTTTCTGAGTTAGAGAGCATGTATCTTTTTGACAATCAATTGAGTGGGAGTATTCCAGATAGCATTGGGCAACTTTCTAAGTTAGAGAGCATTGATATTTCTTTCAATCAATTGAGTGGCAGTATTCCAGATAGCATTTGGCAACTTTCTAAGTTAGAGAGGATAGGTATTGCTAGCAATCAATTGAGTGGAAGTATTCCAGATAACATCAAGCAACTTTCTAAGTTAGAGAGCATGTATCTTTATAGCAATCAATTGAGTGGGAATATTCCAGCTAGCATTGGGCAGCTTTCTAAGTTAAAGAGCATTGATCTTTCTTACAATCAATTGAGTGGGAGTATTCCATATAGTATCGGGCAACTTTCTGAGTTAGAAAGCATTGATCTTTCTGACAATCAATTGAGTGGGAGTATTCCAGATAGCATTGGGCAACTTTATAAGTTACAGAACATAGGTTTTTCTGGCATTCAGTTTGGAACAAGATTTCCTGATTGGCTTCTATTGCATAAGACAATAATCATGCTTGATCTCTCTAATGCTAGCATCTCAGGTCCTTTGCCAGAAAACATCAATCATATGATGCCAATGTTGCAGGGATTATATCTTGCAAATAACCTCATGAACGGTTCAATTCCAAAGTCATTATGCAATTCAAAATCCTTGGAATATCTTGATCTCTCAAACAATATGTTCTCTGGAAGTATTCCTAATTGTTGGAGAAATGATCAACCATTGTATTTTATTGATCTATCTTCTAACAATCTCTCAGGTTTATTTCCAAGCACAATAGAGTTGCTTTCCTTATTTGTACTACACTTGAACAACAATAGTCTACATGGGGAACTACGTGTGGCCTTGAAAAACTTCACTTCTTTAATGGTTTTGGATTTGGGTGAAAATAAATTTTCTGGAAATTTAACAAGCATGGTAGAGGGTGAGATCAGCAATCACTCTTTAAAAATTCTCCGACTACGAAAAAATTTGGTTTCTGGTTATATTCCTTCGAAACTATGCTTTCTCTCTCAATTGCAAATTCTAGATCTTGCAGATAACAATTTGACAGGAAGGATTCCTCCTTGTATTGGTAAGTTTCCAATTATGCTGAATGCAACAGGATTGATCAATAGCATGAATGAAGCATATTGGTCTTGGGCGCATTTGTTTGAGGTTGTGAAAGGGAGATACCTTGAGTATACAAGGAGAACCCTTGGACTCGAGAGTAGTATAGATCTTTCGAGTAACAATCTAATAGGATTCATACCAGAGGAGTTCATTTTCCTTAGGGATTTGCACATTTTGAATTTGTCTTGGAATCATCTCTCAGGACAAATCCCTGAGAAAATTGGACAAATGGAGAATTTGGAATCTCTTGATTTCTCCCAAAATGGCCTCTCAGGAATAATCCCAAAGAGCATCTCAAGTTTAACCAAGTTAAGCCACCTCAACTTGTCCTACAACAACTTGTCAGGGCCAATTCCAACAGGCTATCAGCTCCAAACACTCGAAGATTTAACCATTTACATCGGTAATCCTCAACTCTGTGGATCTCCACTCTTGAAGAAATGCTCAAATGATGTACTACCTCCACCAACCAACAACTTCAAGGACAACGATGATGGTGCACTTGAAAGAATGTGGTTTTACCTTATCGTGATGTCAGGCTTTGCAATTGGATTCTGGGGAGTTGTTGGAACTTTGATTTTTGTGAAAAGTTGGAGATATGCTTATTTTCAATGGGTGGATGATATCAAACATTGGATCCTTGTGATTGTAACATTAAAGATGGCATGATTCAAAAAGATGTTGAATGGTAACCCAAGTAATTAGTGAGTTATATATGAAGTATATTGTTGTTACTACATTTATTATTAAACTAGTTGGACAACCCCACGTTGTGGGGTATGGTGTCGGGTCCAACTTTGAATGGCCCAACATTGAATAGGCCAATTTTGAATAAACAAATAAGTATTAGAGTTTGTAAAGTTTTCAACAATATAACATAAGGTGTAGTTATAAAGGTTTCACAAAAATAAAAATTCATAAATTTAGACAGAAAATAGATAATTCTATTCAAGGCTTTTAGATTGAATGGATTTCTATCTTTTCAGTTTTGTTAAAATATGAAAGTAAAAAAAAGAAAGCAAGAGATGAAAGAATGAGATAGGAAGAATGGCTCAGTTGAGTAAACAATAGTAGCCAAAATAAAGTTCTCACCTATTCATGGTCAAAGTTTGGGACTTTCAATTACACACAATCAAATCGCTCAATTGAGTATCCAATATAATGTACCTCTTACATAAAATTCCCATGCCATTAATATTTCCTAAAACACGTTTTCACATTGCATAAGGCATATCAACTATAGACTCATAAAATACTGTTAAGGCTAAATAATGAAGTCCGTTATGTTAGCTTAACCCTAAATAGCTAATTAATTCCTGCAACAGAACATGAAACACATTTAATCATTTATTGTTTTTAATTTTATGTAAGCACCCTTGATATATAAGAGGCCTAAAAGCTGAAGCACACAATGCAGAAGAACCTATATAAACTTCAAGAATAAAAAAATATATATATCCACAAAAGTATAGGAATTAATACCTTCAACTGCAGTCTTAGTATTAAGTGTTGCTTCTCTCCTAACAAACCATCTTCAAATAAAGCAGATTAAACAATTTAATAACTAAAAAAATCATAATAATCAACCATAAAAACTTGACTCTCTCATACAATTAACATCCAAACATTAACTTTTTAAGGCACTTCTTAATCAAATTTTATCTTGTTCATCCAAACATACTTTTGTATAACTCATTTGCTAATATTAAAATGTTAAAACTTTCCAAAACACATTAAAGAGTATGTGTAAATAGATTAAGCAATTCATGTACAACTTTCCCAACTCAACCTCAAGTGAGCCACACGGTCTAATCAATATCAAGCAAATTTTCTTATGGCATTACATTGATTTTCACATTTTTTTAGCAATTACTATTATTGAAATGCTAAAATCCTACCCTCCCTACACTCATTTTTTCACATCTAATCCCCCAATTGGGTTGGCTAAGTTGAAGTGGAAACAACTCCAACATCAATGACACCAATGCTTTAGTTGTAAATTGATAATAACTACTTCATCTTTGATTTTGAGTTTCAATACAAAGTATGATAAAAATATCAAATAAATTTATCAACAAAAATTACCAAATTTCAAAAAAAAAAAAATTAGAATCAGATGAAAAAAAAGTAAGAGACCAAAGAAAAGATAACAAAGTAGAAAAGTAAAGATATTGAAAATAAAGAGAACCTGTGTAACAGAGTGGAACTCCTCTGTTAGAGGTCCATGCGTGACCAACACTTGGATTAACATGTGGTTCTTCCAATCTAACTTGGACATTGTCAATTTGATTTAGGGAAAGGTTAAAATCCCAATTTGGTCCCTTTACTTTGGTAAGAAACCCTTTTTAGTCCCTTTACTTAAAAAATCCCTTTTGGTTCCTAAAGTTTGAAATCTAACCTTGTTTTAGTCCTTCCATTAAGTTTGTGTTTTGTAGCATGTTATCTCAATGGAAATCCCAAAATAGAGGAGATTAAAATGGAGTTTTTTTTTTTCGTGTAGAGGACAAAAAAAGAGCTTTTTATTAAAGTAGAGGGACCAAAAAGAGTTTTTTGTCAAAGTAAAGAGAAAAAAAGGCTAAAAAATAGCCCCTTTTTAATTCCTCTACTTTCAAATTCTGTCATTTAACGTGTCATATTTGCAAAACTTAACAAAGAGATTAAAAAGGGTTTTGATTTCAAACTTTAGGAACCAAAAAGGGACTTTTTTAAGTAGAAGGACTAAAAAGGAGCTTTTACCAAAGTTGAGGGACCAAAGTGGGGATCTAACCAAATCATACAAATAAAGAAAATTGTAGAGACAATGAAGAAAAGAATTGTCACCTCTTTAACATTCATTTCGGCGTAATCTCGGCACAACATTCCTTCTGAGCTTTTCTCATCACTCACCATCCACTTACTCGCCTTAATCAACATAACCCAATGACTTTGCCGTTTCTTTTAGAATTGATTGTCTAGGATATTACGTGATTCAAGCATAGTGAGAGAAGTAAAGAGAATAAGAGAAAGGGGATAGGAATTGGAATGGATAGGGAAAGGAAAAAGAAAGAAACAAAACTACTGGCTTAAGTGTTTTCTGTAATATCCCAAATTTTCGGGAAATTTATCATTTAAGTTAGGGACTTATTTTGGGAAACATATTGTTTGAGGCCTAATAGTGAAAATTTCAAAACTTGAGGGACTTAAAAGAGAAAAGGATTTGGATAAAAATCAGCTATTTTTTTGCCTTCTTTCTTCTTCCTTATCCGCGTGTTTCTTCTTCTTCTTCCCTGCAGTCGGTAAGGAAACCTAGCCAAGCCGACAGCACCCCCTCTTGAAAACGGTAAAAAGCTTGGGGATTTCTCCTTCTTTTCTTGTTCTAGAACACATATGGAACCCAGAAATCTCCCCCCTGCAGAAAAATCCCGAATCTGCTCTGCTTTGTTTCTTCTGTCTGCTGCTCTGTTGTGTGGGGATGATTTACTCTGGTTTCTGGTAAGAAACAGCCATTAAATTCTCTGTTCTTCCTTGATTTGGTCTGGGTTTACTCTAATTTCTCTTGGTTCCTCCTAATTTTTGGTAGATCCCCTGAATTTTTCCCCAATTCCGCTCGGCTCCCTCAAACCCGCCAACTCCGGTTTGCTTGCTGAAAATTCCTGGTATGTGATAGCTCCACTAAGTCCCAAATTACCTATTAGTTGCTAAAAGTTGTCCGTTAAATTGCTGCCCTATGCTGTCCGAATGTTTGCTAAATTAGGGGAATGAATTCTGGTAATAATTAGGACAAATTTAAGCATTAATTCAAGTGGAATTATGTGATTGAGTGTTAATTAGCTGCTGTGAGATTTTGGAGAAAAATCCCGTGAAATTAGCTATTGTTTTGCCAAATTTCTGGAAGTTGCAGTTACTGTTCACTGCGTAATTACTGTTCACACGTATTGTTTACGGTATTGTTCACAAGTACTGTTTACGGTACTGTTCACGTACTAATGGCCAACAATAGGAGGGTTTAAATATGTAGTTATATTGAGAATGAAATTGAGATGTTTGGTCAGTTATTAATTCTGGAGTATTTTGATTAGGTTCTTGAGTGTTTTGTCACCCGAGCACTTGGCTTGAGTTTCCGGTATTACGTGATTTGAGATAAGTAAATTATGGTAATGCCCTTCGATTTCAAAGCATGTTTTAAATTGTTTTTGAAATGGTGGCAAGGTTTAAATTGATTTTATTAGCATCGAGCATGATTGGTTTGAAATGAAATTGTTTTCATTTTCATTGAGTAGAGCACGCCTACTTGGAATTGACTGAACTGCCTGATGAACTGAGAATTTTGTAAATTTTGATTTTTCTGTTAAATCCATGCTCGCATGGAAATTTTTCGGTTTTTTTTTTTTAAATTTGAGATTGATTGTGACTTACGGATTTTTCTCTAAATCTTGCATGGTTTTGTCTCTGATACGGTCATGTTATCCATGTGCCCGCTAGTGGGAGTAAACGCTAACACATGTCAACATGTTTACTGATAGGACCGGTTCATTTTGTAATCCTACCAATGGGATAATACATTGGTAATTTCTAACGCCTGCCACTGGGCGAATACATTGGTAATTTTTGACGCCTGCCACTGGGTGAATACATTGGTAAATTCTGACACCTGCCAATGGGCGAATACATTGGTAATTTCTGACGCCTGCCAGTGGGTGTTAAACACTGGCCATGACTTATAGATGAGACTACTATTGAATTTTCTTCTGTATGAATGGTTTGTCATTGGACGCTTTGTTATTGAATTGAATCTTATTTTGTATTAACGGTTTATCATTGAACGTTTTGTTATGTTAAATTGTTTATCAAGCATGCTAAAATTTTACTCACGGGCTATCCATCTTTTTACTTACTGAGAAATTTTATCTTATAATTTTCCTTGTCCACCATTTTAGGTAGTGTGATCTGAGATGCGGGAAACGAGGGGAGTGACGAGTTAGAAGGCTAGCCATCTTGTAAATTGAACATAGATTTCAGATATAAATCATGATCTTGTAAGTTAAACTTATTTGGAGATTTTATGATATAAGAGCAAATTTTAAAATTTTATCTTCAGATTTTGTGGTATCAGATTGTGGTATGATAAAGTTCCGATCCTTGTGCATTTGTGGGACCCTCTCACAAGTATACGGCTTTTACCACGTCCCCGGATTTGGGTTATGGGGCATGACATTTTCGTTTTGACTCATCAAAGATTCAATTTTGATTGGATTTTGAATTTCTTCTCAAGTGTTAGCTTTTCTACAATCCATGATCCAATTCCAAAGCTAATATGAAAAGAGAAACAGTCGAATATGATGGAACAAAGTAGCAATATTTATTTACCAAAAAAAGCAACAATATTTTGACCCTAAAAGACCAAAAAACCATACTCAAGAGACTAAATTTTGCAATAAAATGTGAGGGCAAAAGAGAAAAATCATTTTGGGATAATATACTTAAACTTTAGATATTGATTTTATCCTTTACTAAAGGTAAAGACAAGAGCCAAGTTTGAGGATTTAAAATGAAACTAAATAAATATTTTTGTAAAAAGACCAAAAGGCCAGAGTATGACGAGAGGGAGAATGGGAGAACCAAGGGAAAAATAAAGGAAAAAAAAAACCTATGAAAAGGAGGAGAGTTAGAGTTATTGTTCATTTTGTGAGAGGGGGTTTTCCACTCTTCTCCCTATTAACTATTTAGATCAGGTTATGTTTCAAATTAGCATGCTTGTTGTGTTGTGTGAAGGTTTTTTTAATTCTGATTTTTGTATTTTTATTTTTGCCATAGTATTTATTTTTAATTTTTTTTAAAAGTTGAATTAAAAATTAAAAGTTGGTCAAAATCACAACAAAGAAAATAAAAAAAGTAGGAAAAATAAAAAATGTTGAAATTTATTAAAATATTTTTTGATGATTCTTATTTTAATTTGCTTTACTTTTTATGTTTTAGGACTCATTGATAGTTAAAGGAAAATTTTCTAGACAAATCAAGAAGAAAATGCATAAAAGGAAGCTCAATTGAAGAAAAAGAATTGAATTGTGCAATGGGATGAAGTGCAAATGGATTATAGCAAAATCAAAAATTCATCTAGCCCACTGGCACTCCAAGCCTAAAGCACATGGCCACCTTAACCCAACCAATTCACCCATCTTTTTTCTTTCTAAAACTCACTATTTTTTTTGTCTTTTCGGTATTGTGTAAATATCTCATTATAATTTGAACCCTAAATTCTTCATTTCTCCTTCACCCTCAATGCTCTGAATTTTTACATCATCTCCATGTGATATAGTCCCATTTGCAGAGTTGAGCTGTCAATGGTAGTTAATAATGGGTGCTAACGTCTAGAGTCGGTTAGAGTCTATTATGTGAGGATTATATTAAGATTAGTTGCTTAGTTATAATTCTTAGCTAAGTTATTCCATAATAGCCCTATGTTTATAAGGTATCGCTTTGTAAAACCAATAATTAGTGTTTAGAATTTGGAATGTAAAACAAATTTTCATTGAAGTAATTTTTCCTTTTACATTGTAGACTTCATTCCCATCACTCCAGCATGTTACTTCCAATAGTACATTATACTATCTTTTAGTGACTAGATTATTTTACTGACAAAAATTAATTAACAAAATGCTAAGCATATGTAGGAGATTATAAGACTCGTAACAAAATAGAATTAAGCTAGCCTAACTAAAAAGAAAATGAATAAATTATAAAATTTTTTATAGATATAATTTTGATTCCACTACCATTACCATGTTTAAATTGAATATGAAAATAACTAAGATGTCTTAGTGGTAATGCCATTCTAGTAAAAATATAAATTTTAAGTTTGAGTTATTGTTGGGGGTCGAAGGTTGATGAGTTAGCAGTGAAGGTGATGTATAAGCTAATTAGCATGCCCTCTATCAAAGATGAGAAGGGGTCTTTTTGGCTTACATCTGTTTCACGTACGAGAGATTACATGCCACAAGCCATCTTCCTTCACCTAGCAAAGATGAATTGTACATCATTCTCCATCAAAATCTGAAAATATGTCTTCCCCAACCAAGCTAGGAGAGTTGGGTAGTGATAATGGAATTTCAAAGGCCAAGAATGATAACACAACTATGAAAGAAAATAAACAAATCATGTACATTGTGGTAGGAGCAGTGTGGATAGAAAATATATAAAGAGCAACTTATACAACTTGAGAAGCACATTTATATAAAATACATTATAGAATAATAGTAAACACAATAAAGGTGCCGTATTCGTACCTTGACAAGTAGTCCAACACTAAAATAAACAACCCTCATATTAGGGTTCAAAATACGACAATCTTCTTCAAACTTGCACAAAACAAAAAGAAATAAACTAGAAAGTAGTGATTAGAGAAGGAAGAGTGATCATTGTGGGGGCTTTTAAGGGAGGACTTGATTATGTTTCATGATGTTAACTCTACTGCTAATTGATCCTTTGATGCTCAAGAAAGGTAACCTAGAACCTCAAATAGTTGTATGAAATCTTCTAGCCATGTTGAGTTGGGAGCCTAGAGGATAATTTATATATATGGTTGGAAATGTAAGAAAATATGAGAAAATGGAGATTTTTAGGGAATTTTTGTGGAAGATACAGCAGGTTGAAGATGAAGATTTCTTCAAAGTAAAAAGTGTGTTTGAGGCATGGGATCTAAATAATCTTTTTTGTGGAATGAAAATCTATCAAAAAATAAAGACAAAATCAAACATATATATATAATGGCATTTTGGTAATTTTGGGTTTGTAGGGTTAGAGTAGCCTAATAATCCAATGGTTAGATTTGGGTTGTATGAGGACATGTGTCAAGTTTTGGGAGGATTTGGGCACTTTTGATAATTGTTGATGTGTAATTATGAGCTCTCTAGCATTTTCAACAAAAGACCACTGGTTCGCTAGAGCCTCCCCATTCTTGGCAACTTCATATCCATACTTAATGTCATATTTGGTATGTAATTGAGCACCACTAGCAAAGCTTCTTTTGTTTGATATTTTTGTGATTTTTCCAAGCAAAATATAATCTCTTTTGTTGATTTCCAATACAATGAAACATTTGTAGCCATCCATACATTAAATACAACTGTAGGTTGGTGATGAAGACTTAAATGGCATTTCCAATTGATTTTAATAGGGTTTTAGGTTTTCTAGTTAGCATCAAATAATGTAGTTTTAGGATCAAGTTTTTGTCTCAATATGTTTGCCACCCATCCTTTCTTGACGAAGATGAGTAACATCGCTAGCACCAAGCTTAGCTAGCATGAATACTATATTTTGCCGGGTAGCCAATGTTTATTAATCCATGCCTGCCAAGCCACTACTTCCATAATTTATCCTGAATAATTCCCATAAGTTTAGATTTATGGGTCTGTGTCCATCTATAATCAAAGAGCAAAATATGAATGACTATTCATTTGATTATATAAGTGTGACATGTATAAGTATATGTAGTAAAGAAGAACACTCCTTTGTGTATTGAAGCAAATGGTGAGAGCAAACATCATTGCGCCTTTTTATCCATTAGCCATTGGAAGTACTTGTATAATATTGCTGTGTATGTTTGGCGATGTACCAAGATAGAGAATAGATAATATGGATGTGTGTTGCAACATCGTTTTATTGAACCAAGTGCCGCTAGTTGACGATACATGTAAACGGTGTTCATATCTGATCCAATCTAATTGATTTGACCTAAACCAACATAATCTAATAAAAATCCAAACCAAACCGATATAAAATTGGGTTGGTTTGGATTATAAAATTTTAAAATGATATAATTAATTTAGTTTGTGGTTTTACTTTCAAACTACTTGAACCATCCAATTGCAAAATAAAATATGATTATAAGATAACTTAAGTAAATAATATAGTATTTTTTTGTAGTATTTTAAATTTTATTTTTCTTATTTTACAAAATAATAACTTTATTAACTTAATTAAAAAATAAAAATAGAACATACTGATATTCCCTAATTTATTTTCCTTTCTTAATCATGTACTTTAACCCTAATTTAAATTTCCAATTTACCTACAACTTTACCCCTTAGAATTGGTCTACGACTCTACTTTTATAATCCTGAATTTCTAATTTGTTTTTAAAACAATATTTTGATTCTCCTAAGTTTTAAAGACGTATCAATCTATAAGTCTTAAAACTACGTAATATAACTAGTTTTGATATTCTATTATTTTTGGGTGTTTGGTTGAGTAGTTTTAAATCTTGATGATGAATGCTTCTAATCATTCCAAATGACATTCATGTTAAATTTTATTCGCTTTTAACAAAGTTTGGAAGATGGCATTGAATCATTTGGTGCATTAAAAAAAAAAAAACTAATTTTAACCTTTAAAAATTATTTACACTATGTTTAAAACTTATAGCCATCTTTTATTAACCTTGGTGCCTCTAGTGATTTAATCAAGAATAATTTTCAGATCTTTTCAATCTTTGCAATTATAAAAAAAAAAAATAAGAATTTGTCTATAATTTGTGTTTTTTATTATGTTTCTACTAAGTTGGATATTAATGTATTTAATAGTTAGATTTTTTACTTAATGTTAACATTTTTTACATTATCTCATATTAAAAACCGATCAATTTGACTAATCCATATTGACTCAATTTAAGTTGGATTGGTTTGGTTATTATATAATAGTGGATTGAATTGGTTTAAAAATTCTACTAACCGATTAAATTAGATTGGTTTATAAATTATTAAAATCTGAATCAAACCACACCTCAAACACCCCTAATACTTGCCAACATGTAAAAATATGGAAGACATATGTTGTGAATTGAGATTATTGGCAACTAGTGATTTTTCCCCTTTGTATAAAAAGAATAGCAATCTGCATGACTGCCAGTCATGTTAAATATCACTAGGTCAACCAGAAATAGCTTTCTCATAACTAGAGGACAACAGTGACTAGCTTTACCCATGATTGGAGTATGAATTATGTGAAACAAAGGAAGTGTATTCCCTGTAATTCACTAAGTCACGAAAGGGATAAATCTCATTAGTCTAGAACTCCAACATAACGATGAATATAATAAAAATGGATGAACAGTTATCCATGGAAAGGGGATGCCACCATATCCATGGC